TATACACTTAGTAACAATAAAGTAAAAAATAGTAGCAATTATAGAAGAAAATTAGAGAGAGATTGTGATAGATTGATGATTTTGTAAGAAAAAATGAAAGAATGATGGGGTATTTATAGTTGAAAATAGGGAAAAAGTGTAATTATAAAAAGTTTGGGATTAAAACAAAGTTGGGGGAGGGGGGAGGGGGAGGGGAGGAGTTAAATGGCTATTTTATAAATAGCCAACGACTATTTTTGACAGCCCAACGGCTATATTTTAAAAATAATTTTTTTAAAAAAAAAAAAACAAATAGCCGTTCGGACCGTTTGGCCCGCTAAGGGACCGATCCAGTCCCGGGCCGGTCCTGGTCCCGGTCCCTGACGGGCTAAATGGTCCCGGGTCTGGCAAGCCCAAATCATAGGACCGGCCCACGAGACCGGCCCAGGCCCACTAAAATCGTTTGGCCCGCGGTCCCGGGCCTGGACCGGCCCACTTGTCACCCTTAGCGCAGGTGCGCATTTTTCCTCCGCAGGTGCGAGGCCTCGCCTGGCAGCCCCATTTCGCAGATGCGAGCTCGCATGTGCGAGTCCAGGCACCGCAGGTGCGGAAATGCCTGGGCAGTGTATATATCGAAGAGTCCGATATTATTTTCACATTTTGGTCATTTTGAGCTCGGTTAAGGCGGATTTTTGGGCGATTTTCACGGGAAACATTGGGGTAAGTGTTCCTTATCCTATATTGATTATATTTCATGATTCCAATCTCGTTTATATCATGAATCCGAGAATTTATGGAAGAAAAATCAGATTTTTCTAAAATCTTCCAAAAACGGAAAAAGTTAGATTTGAAGGTCCATTTGATATCGGAAATGGATAATTTTTGTATGGTTGAACTCGTAGCGGAACGAGTGTTCGGATTTCGCGAGTTTCCGGGATTTGAGACGTGGGTCTCACTGTCGAATATTTTAATAAATTTTAGATTTTATCCGAAAAATTAGTAAATTCATATGGAATTAATTCCTATGATTTGTATTGAGTATATTGAATTGTTTATGAATGGATTTGAAGTTTTTGGAGATGAATTTAAAAGGAAAAGTTGTGGTTGAGTAATTGATTGGAATTTGCAAAACGAGGTAAGTGTCGTGGTTAACCTTGACTTGAGGGAATAGAGCCCTTAATTTAATTATTATGTGAATTGCATGTGAACAACGTATAAGCGAGATGACGAGTGTCTATACGTAGTCAAATTAATTATTTGCCTGCAAAAATCATAAATTATTTTAAATCATAAATTAATTATTATAATAATTATTTCTCTCCTATTCTTTGTCAAATATTAATTCTTGAATTCATGCATTAATTGTTACATGCTATTTGAATTATGTGTTTTAATCGTTATTTGACATTTAGCATATTAAATCACGTCCTCTCTCAAAAATAGGTTTAGGTTGGCTTTATATGAGTTGTGGGCGTCTAGGGGTCGAAATAACCGAGTCCTAGTCGAAAAAGGACACTTTCCCGTCTTGAGCGTCCAGGGCAGCGTGGGGCGCTGGCCCTGGCGCTCAAACATTTTGGCTCCTGTAAATTGCGCCACAGCCAGCGCCCCACGCTGGCTGTGGCCCTCAAATCTCCCTTTTTGCGATTTTGTCCCGATTTTGCTCCAATTCGCGCCCTTTCGTCCCAAATTGCATCCGAATGATTCCTACACATAGAAATACCAAAATTTAGCACACATTATCATATTAAACATCTCAAATCGTCGAGACATGAGTAAAATGTGAGGTGATATATATCAAAATATGCATACATTAAGCCGATTATCAGTTGTGTTTGTTGATGATATAGTCATTAGAGGCAATGATTGAGATTGTATAATTAAATTGAATCAACATCTCTTTCAGCATTTCCAGACGAAGGACCTAGGCAAATTGAAGTATTTCCTAGGCATTAAGGTCAAGCAGTCCAAATAAGGAATTGTCATCTCACAACGTAAATATGCCCTAGGCATTCCTGAGGAGACAAGTATGATAGGTTGTAGACCCATTGACACTCCTATGGCCCAGGAACATTAAACTTCTACCACGACACGGGGAGCCTTCTCGAAGGTATAGGCGGCTGGTTGATAGGTTGAACTATCACATAATGACTCAATCTGACATTGCCTTTCATGTTAGTTGTTGTAAATCAGTTTATGGACTCTCCATGTGATAGTCACTAGGATGCAATTATTCATATTCTTCGATACATAAACTTAGCCCCAGGCAAATGATTGCTTTTTGAAGATCGAGGTCATGAGCAGATTGTTGGTTATACAAACGTTGATTGGGCATGATCACCTTGTGATATGGGGTCCATATCTGGATATAATGTTCTAATCGGAGATAATTTGGTGTTTTGGAAAAGCAAGAAACAAAATGTGGTTGCTCGATCTAGTACGGAAGCGAATACCAAGCATTGGCTTTGGCAATTTGCAAACTAATATCTATTAAGCAAATGCTAATTAATTGAAGTTTGGAGAAATCAATCCGATAAAATTTGTGTGTGATAACCAAGATGCTCTTCATATTGCATCAAATCTCGTGTTTCATAAGAGAACTAAACACGTTGACATCGTCTGTCACTGTATCATAGAAAAGATACTCTCAGAAAATATTGTTACAAAATTCGTGAAGTGAAATGAGCTTGTAGATATTTTCACCAAGTCCCTCACTGATTCTTGTGTTAGCACATTTGTGACCAGCTTGAGGGGAAGTGTTAGAATCTCGTAGAATATTCTAGGATCTTGTAGATAGAGTATAGCTTGATTTACTCCTATAATAATATACATTTTGATTCTCTTTCTTTTCTTATAACTTAGCCAAAAGCCCCAATTGCTTTGAGGGAATAATTAAGTTCTCTCTCAAACTCTCTTCTTTCTCACACAACAACAACAACAATACCAAACCCAGTGCAATCCCACACAGTGGGGGTCTGGGCCTCTTCTTTCTCACACAATGGTTGAATTTAGACCAGTTGCTCATGAGATTTGTGAAATGTGGAGTAAACGATTCTTAGAATTCTTGAAGATTTTCAATTTTCAATTTTCTCCCGTGAATGTATACTGCGATAGTAAAGCATCAATTTCTATTGCTCATAATATGGTTCTTCATGAAATAGCAAAACATGCAGAAGTAGATTGACACTTACGAAAAACTTGATAATGGACTGTGTTGTATGCCATACATTACCAACAACCACTGATTTACTTACTAAAGGACTGCAAACAAAGCAAATCGACAGTTTGATAAGCAAGCTGGCAATGAAAACTATTCTCAAGCTGGCTTGAGGGAGAGTGTTGGAGCATAGAAGATTCATCATGATATTAGCAAATCAGTATGTACTGGCGATTGACGCACTAACGCGCCACATTCAAGGGGAGGTGCCATGGTGCATGTTATTTGCGGATGACATTGTACTGATTGACGAGACGCGAGACGGTGTTAACGCGAGGTTAGAGGTTTTGAGGCAGACCCTGGAGTCTAAAGGTTTCAAGTTGAGCAGGACCAAGACAGACTACTTCGAGTGCAAGTTCAGTGGTGCGACTCAGGAAATGGACGAAGACGTGAGACTTGATTCACAAGTCATCCCTAGGAGAGAAAGTATCAAGTACCTTGGGTCAGTTATAAATGGGGAGATTGACGAGGATGTCACACACCTTATTGGAACACGGTGGATGAAATGGAGGGTCGCTTCCTGTATTTTGTGTGATAACAATGTGCCACCAAAACTTAAGATAAGTTCTATAGAGCGGTGGTCAGACCGACTATGTTGTATGGGGCTGAGTGTTGGCCAGTCATGAACTCCTATGTCCAGAAGATGAAGGTGGCATAAATGAGGATGCTGAGATGGATATGCGAGCGTACCATGATAGATAAAATTATGGATGAAGTTATTCAGGATAAGGTGGGTGTGGCCCCTGTGGAGGACAAGATGCGTGAAGCGAGCTTAGATGGTTCGGATATGTGAAGAGGAGAGACACAGATGCTGTAGTGAGGAGGTGTGAGAGGTCGGTCTTGGAGGGCCTAATGAGAGGTAGAGGTAGGCTGGAGAAGTATAAGGGAGAGGTGATTAGGCAAGACATGGCGATTCTCCAGCTTACCGAGGACATGATCCTGGATAGAAAGATGTGGAGGTTGAGAATTAAGGTAGAGGGCTAGGTAGCCGAGTATTGTCCTGACTCGTACCAGTAGTTTTAGTGCATTACTTAATGTTAGTATTGTATTTTCTTATTCTTAGATTTCTGTTATTACTTGTTTCTTTCGCTTCGGTTTTCTGATTGGTTTTTTGTTGTTGTTATTGTTGGTCCTTCCTTTTTATTTTTCATGAGCCGAGGGTCTAGCGGAAGCTGTCTCTCTGCCTTCTTAAAGGTAGGGGTAAGGTCTTGCTGATATTATTCTATACAGATATACTTAAATATTGTGAATTGGGATAGTTACATTATAGGGTTAGCTAGTTTGTTTAGCTTCAAGCATTATGTTCTTTATCCTCTATCAGATGAAAATATGAATGGCTTTCTTTGACAGGAAGCCATCAAAAGCTCTCCTCAAAATTAATTTCTGTCATAAATATTATATTTAAGTTTACATTATTTTTATCAGCCTTTTAGTATGATATAATGACATTTCCAGGAAATAATATTTTACTTATCCTTTGGGTTGGGAACTATGCTAGTACCTCTTACAATGTCAATTTGCCATATGTTTTGTGTATTTCCTTGGAATCTTCTTCAAAAGGAGCTGGTTTTAATCATGAGATCAAGAAAAGTTGACTGTTCAACTTTTCTTGTTTCCTTTTCTTTTAATCTCAAGATAAGCTAATATTTCTATTCCTTCATTGATTATTCTTGAATGTGTTAATGATTTCTTCATGGAATTATGCATATTTCTCTCTTCCGTGTGTGATTCCTTCCACATTCTTCTGCTTTTGAAGAGTAGGTGTGTCGTAACTTAAACACTTAAGTTGACTGGTTAATTTGTTTTCAGGTATTGCTATCCAATGCGGAGCTGGCTAGACTAAGCAAGGATCTAGTATGTAGCTTTTTCCCTATGATATATAGCTGTGACTCATCATTCATCCTGCTGATTAATTCTGTCAATTATGCAGGCAATATTACGATGTGATCTGCCATCCTACATGGTTCCTTTTGCCCCTGATGACTTGATATTTGAGAAACCAGAGGTGAGCCAATATTAATATGAAGTAGCTGTCCCTCTAGAAATCTTGATGCTGCCTATGAGCCTGTTTGGCCAAGCTTATGGGAGGCTAAAAATACTTTTTCTCCCAAAAAGTACTTTTTTAAAAATTTAATCTGTTTGGCCAGTATAGTGAAGTACTTTTGGCCAGCAGCAGTAGAAGCAGTTTTTCTGCTTTTGAGAAGAAGTAGAAAATTCTAGCTTCTTCCAAGAAGCAGAAGTAGAAGTAGAAAATTAATTTATTCAAGACAAAACTATCCTCACCATAAATTTATATTTTCCAAATTATCCCTTACTAATTTAAGTTTTTTATTTTCATTTTTGTTTCTAGTTTTTACCATTCTTTTAAAATTAAAGATATCATATACATGAATCATATTGTAACTTTCCAAATTCTTTATTGATTTTCTTGTTTTCGATTTTTTTCTTTGTGTAATGTCTTGTAACTTTCTAAATTATCTTCTTCTTTTTTTACACTAAAGCAAGTTATCTACTTCCTTCTTTGGATTATCAATTCTTTTCCTACAAATAATCATTTATAATTTCTTCTATTATATGCTATTAGTTCCCGAATCTTTAAAACAGTTATCAAATCTAATTTGTGAAAATTACCTACAAATTGATAATAAATTTACAATTGCATTGCATAATCTATCTATATATTATTAAAAGAAGAAGAAAAAACATCAACATTAAGCCAAGTGGCAGCCTCACATTAGGCCACTTGGCAATTTAAGAAAAAGTTAGCAAGGTTAGGTAATAATTAGTTTCTTTTTGAATTTAAATTTAAAAAAAAATTAAATTATACATTATGTGTTGTTAATAATTAGTTACTCTTTTTGAATTTGAATTTAAACATACTTAACTATTTTTTTACGATTTTTTTATATATTTAAAATTATTTCTATTTTACGCTCAATGCCATTTTTCAAGTTTGACACTAAGAATCATCTAGTTACAACTACCATGGCTATACATAATTTCATCCGACGACATTCTTCTACCGATAAGGAATTCAACTATTATGCTAATGAAGACATTACTACAGAGATGGATGAAAGAGATAGACCTTATGATATTCCTTTAGAAATGCAAGGCAAGTCTTCTACTAATATGAAGGCGTTGTGTGATAGAAATAGAGATGAAACTATTGAGAAATATTATCATGTGTGAGTGATTTTACTTATTATTTTATTGTGGATTATCAATATATAGTAATTTGTGGAATCGACTTCTAATTTATACTGAATGATGTATTTTTATTATTCAAATCATCATGTAAAAATAAGTCTATATAATATTATATGCTTTGGTATAAGAACTATATATGTAAAATTGATTTAAATCTTTAATATGTTTGTTTACTTTATGTTTTATATTTTAATTAAATAAAATAAAAAAAATAAAAGTCTCTTACGATAAATATTTAAGTTCATTTTTCTCTTTAAAAGAATTATAAGACCTTGGTACTTTCCTTTTTGGTAATTTGACACTCAAAAGCACTTTTTAGTAAGATTGACCAAACACAATTTGTTTACCAAATGTTGCAAAAAGTACTTAAATGAATTTGCCAAACACAAACTTCTAAAAAAAGTACTTTTTAAAATAAGCAGATTTTGGCAGCTTGGCCAAACGGGCTCTACATTTGGGTGCAACTCAGCAATTCACTTATTATTAAGGTCCTTAGACCTACAGTGTCCATGTTTGTTGATGTCTATAAGCTATTTGAAGTGTTGACTAGAGCGCCAACATCCAACCATCCAAATATGTCTGGTGGCAAATAGTAAAATAATTTTCCTAGAGTGAGGACAGGGCACTTCAGGGAGTTGAACTTCTAAATTTCTCGCATTATACCTGTAACGTACACGTGGTTATTAATTGTGAAGTATGTCGTTCTTCTAGTCCAAATTTCTCGTATATTTGTTTTCAGCCTATGGAATATTGCTCTTTCCTTGGAAGAATAAATTTTGACATGCAGTATGTCTATACATTGCTCAAAGATAAATGTTCCTCACAACGAATTTCAAGGTCCACACAGACAGCAGCTAGAGCAGTCCATACATTTAAAAGCACCTTGTCTATCCCTGCAAGTGTTTGTTGTGTGAGTTTTGATTAGCCTGATGCCTAAACTTGGTGTAAGCTACTTATCTGTTTTCAAGATTAGGTCTATGTCCGAGATAGGTTTTTGCTATGCGTGTGTATATTGTATTGAAGCTTGAAGTTATATAGTTTGGAACAAGCATTAGAAAATCAGTTCAAGAACTTATGAAAAAATAAAGCAAATGCTGATGCATGTATGATTGCTGGCATCTGAAAGTTGAGATTTTGGATACAGGATGGCGGGGAGAAATTTACTAGCCTCTTAACGGCTATTAGTGCTTATGCTGAAGGATTTTCCGCGGATACCATAATTAGAAGAGCTTTGTATTTGTGGAAGAAGCTTGAGAAGCAAAATACATATACGGTGCACCAGAAACTTCTATCAGCCTGATCGGAGACTCTGATGTCCTGAAAACCGATGGTGATACAATTCCTAGTTCTTCTGTTCATAGCTTTTTTTTGGGATTATAGATTATCATTGAAAACCAAAATGAACTAGGTAGGGTATACTGGTCAGAGCACCTCCTTGTAAAATTAACCAGTGAGCATTCTGCATTAGTAATTGGTCTTTTACTGTAACGTGCTTCATATTACTGAAACATGATATGCAGTAGCATTACTGGAATTCGGAATTATTAAGAGAAATCCAAAAAAATTGGATTTCCTTTGTGCCATTTGGATGGATAAAGAAATTCAAGGGAAAATGGAGATTATTATATTTGTCTGCACTGGATTTTGCAACAGAGAACGATGAGAAGACACAATTCTAAATTACTACAGCTTTTTAAAAGAAAAAATCCCTTGAATTTATCACGAATCACGAGATTAACCAGTAAAATTCTTGGTTTTCGGTATGTTTAAACTCTTATAGCGGGATGTATTTCTTTATGTGATTGAGCTTCTCTTTACGCACCCCTTTTAATTTTAATTTGATGTCAAATTAATGTAGGTATGAACGTAATTGTGTTTGATTATCACCTAATTACTTTTTTATTTATAATCTCGTCATCCAAGAAGAAATTTATGTTTCAATGCAATGTAAAGAAATGAAAAGGATGGTCAGGTTCTGCTATTGATAGTCTAAGTCAGGTTTCTAGAGTTTGTTAGGTCGGGATGTGAGCCTTCGCAACAAACATTGTTTCGAGATTTCTCAATTGTTTACCCGTACAGTTGAATTTGTAACGTGGTTTATAGACACGTGAATTAACTTGATCTAAAAATACGAAATTAATAAGAATGAAATCAAGAATGTAAAAATAACTTAAAGAAATACAAGTCTGATGGTATGATAAGCCTTCCCGAAAGCAGTGATATGAACAAAATTAAGAACAAAGAAAGCGAATAATTTTATAACATGAGAGCAAATTATATCCTTTGTGTACAAATGATTTTTCGTGTCATAAAAATGGATACCAATTCTCCTATTTATAGCTCTATTGAGGGAGATACGATCCCCAAATCAAGCTCCTCTTGAATGAGAATAAAATCATCATTGATGGCTGCATAACGATTGGCTTTTATTAAAGAGATTCTTTGTAACGACTGCTCATGTCCGATGTCATCCCTTTATATCTTTGTTATCAGTTCCCATGCCTTCGGAATTCACACAGTACCGATCACATACTTGCATCCGGTGCCAACTATTTGTTGACTCACATATTACCTGTTTTCAGTTCTACGTGTCATCTCGTCATTTGTCCAACTGCCGCTAACCAATTTTACCCCATACAGATAGTCCCCCTACTTTGCGATGACAATACTTTAGTGTTACCGGGAAGTAGATAAAACTTTATTTCTTAGCGGGTAAGTTTCTGAATGGTTTCAAACACTTGAAAGAACGCACGTCTCTTCGCATTTAATGACCCGAACACGTGTTATCCCATGATTTCGCAAAATTTCTCTTCGCATTTAATGACCCGAACACGTGTTATCCCATGATTTCGCAAATATTTTTTTCAGTTTCCAAGGTAATCATGACCACGAATTATACCGCTTATAAACTCCTTCCCTACTCTTCAATTTTATTTTTCACTTTCACAAACTCTTCTTCTTCTTAGAACCCTACTGCAGAATTCATCTTCCTCAGTAAAACTTCTCTTCTCAAATTTCATACCATCATATCTTTTAACACCGTTGTCCTCGGAAACACTGGCCTTCTCTTCGGAGGTGGCCCTAAGAAGAACAAAACAAAAGAGGTTGATTTCGAGTCTGAACCTCCTACCGTGAACTCCATCATACCCCTTCAACTTAATACCCAGTATGACCTTCAAGTCCAGAAAGAACCCACTAACCCCAAAAGTGACAGACACTGGCATGTTCGTAGATACCCTTCTTCCATTCGTCTTCCTACCATCCCTATCGTGAAGGAAGATTGCGAATGAAACAACATTGAAATCTTCGCACCTAGTGAAGTGGAAAGGGTCACCTTTTCCAAACCAGGGTTCATGTATGTTTATACATACCCTTTAACTTTGAGATTGGGTCAAGGAATTAACCCAATAATTTTATAATTCTGCCACCGGTATCAAATCTGTCTGGCTCAAGCTAGTCCATCAATATGGCGTACGATGGCTTGCCTCCGAAAATTGTGCTCTGAGACTGGAAAAATCCTAACTTTTGCACACATGACGTAACACCCCGAAAAATTTCGAAGTACTTAAGCGCTATTAAGAAAGTTGATGTGCGCTAATTATATTATGTTGTGTGCAGACGAGGACTATTAATATGATAGATATCAATTGGATATGATAATAAGTGTACGAGGCATATTATAAGTGGTGTGGGGTCTAAGGAGAGCCCCAAGTCTAAGTAAAGTTGGAAATTACTNATATATATATAAGGAGTTATGTGATGAATAACCTATTAAATGAAAGATCATCGAGTTTAGTTTCTAACGGTTCAAACCGTTCATCATTTGGATACTCATACAAGAAGGTATGACCAAATTACCAAAAGCTGGCAGAAGGTGACACTACCGCGCCGCCCCATGCGGCGCGCCTGTGGGGATTTCCAGAACACTTCAAAATTTCCTTTCTAGGCACATTTTTCATTGCCGCGCCGCACCCCGCGGCGTCCCATGCGCGGCTGTGCAATTTTTGGGTTTTTTTATAACCGACCCTATTTTAATAAATAACCTTTGGGGCTTTATTTGGGACGATTTTCTGGTGAGTCTAGAGAGAAGTGAGAGTGTTATAGAGAGAGGAAGCTCAAGTGCTTTGTTCATCAAGATCTTGTCCAAGCTTTGAAATCCAATAAGGAAATCTCACAAGTTCTTCATCTAAGAGGTAAGATTCCATACCCTAGTTTTTCAATTTCAAATTTGGGTAGAAGATGGTTGATTAGGAGTATGATTCTTGGGTATGAGAATATTATTTATACATGCATGTACCAATAAGGTTTGTGGGAAGATTGTTGAGCTCAAATGGGTAAAGATTGGGTTGAGGAGTGAAGAAAATCTTGTAGAAGAACCTTGTAGTTAAATTTGCACACCAAGTGTTTGATGAAATGCTCAAATAAGCTGAAACCATGAATATCTTCCTAATTTGTATTTAATTTTGTTATGTCTCAAATAGATTGGGATTGCTAGGATTTTCGGAACGTTGTAGTAATTTAAGGAAAGCTCAAAGTGAGGTATGATGGCTAAACTACTCTCTTAGAATTGAATTCCATGATGTTCCTTTAAGTTTCAAGTATGGTTGTCTCAAGTTCATTATTCTATGTTCCGAGTTGTTCCCAATAAATTCGATTGTCCCGAATAAGCAAAGTGTTGAGAATTATTCATTCAAAACGTGTTCCGAATGTTCCTATCACATTATGTTATCCTTTGGGAATGTGTTCAAGAATGATATGTGTATTAAAATGCTATGTCTTTGAGTCGTGTTTCAAATGAAGGTTATGATGCCAAATTGTGTGAGAAAATATCAATATGCTTAAGACTCTTAATTGCTCATACGTGTACCTAAAGTCTTTATTGGAAATGTCTTATTGTTGATAATCTATAAAGATGGTTGGAAGTGAAATAAGTGAATTGGGGATATAAAGTGTGGCCAACGTGCCAAGGGTGAAAGTTATACTTGTGAATAATGGTGCCAATGAAATGAGATGATGTGAGAAAGATTATGAAGTGAGCTTTGATTCAACACTTTAGAAATTTACTTCGAAAATAGAATTGCCTAAAATCTTATGAACTCAAGTGACGCCCGTATGTGGCTGTTTTAACTAATGCTATGCCTTATAAGTAGTTTCGATGTGTTTTGCGTTCTTACATATTCTTGAGTGAAAATTGTGTATTGCCCTTTTTGTGGAAAAGTATTTCAAGAATAAATGATGTGTTACTCGTTTATGATTTTAACTTGTGCTTCGATTGCCAACCATTTTACTCTATTTCTTGGAAAGAAATCCATTGTGTTTAAAGTCTTCATTACTAATGAACTTAAAGTTGTGATTTCCGGAATATTATATATGTTGATATTTATGATGACGATACATGAGAGGGATGAAATGAAAGTGTGGAATATCAAATACGGCCACCGTGCCTTGAATGATGAATCATATGTATGGCCAAGAGAGACAATGAAATAATGATGTTGAAAGTGGTTGAAAGTGCCAATGAGTCTATATACGATATGAAAAGTTATGAGGTAAACGCATTTGTATTGTTGTTTCCTTTGTAAACAAATCAAAAAATATTTTTTGGGAGTATCGATAGTCACCGAGGAAGGGTAGGTTGAAATAGGTTAAAATAACCTAACCCCGAAACTACAAGTGCCGGTGTAGGAGTGAATTGTGATTATTCCCCTTATTTGAGATGAGATTGATGTGATAAAATTATTCCCCTTATTTGGGATGAGATTGATGTGATAAAATTATTCCCCTTATTTGGGATGAGATTGATGTGATAAAATTATTCCCCTTAATTGGGATGATGATTGATAGAAAAGGATGATGTCGATCCACACGGCATTGTGGTGAGATGGCCTAGCCGATCGGGTCATGATCGGACACCATGCCGCACACATGGTGGTGATTTTGCTGGAAATTGTAATTGAAATTGTGATTGTGGTTGATGTCTCTAATGAGATGGCCTAGTCAATCGGGTCGTGATCGGACTCCGTACTAAAAGTACGGTGGTATTGATATTGTGAATATTGGTACTGTGAACGGTGTTATTGGTACTCTGAATATTGGTATTGTGAACAATGGTATATCGGTGCTAAAGATCTCCCAACCAAAAATAATATTATCTTCGTATTTTGGAAATTAATATGTTTTATCTTGGAAATTGGATATCATTGATTGTTGATTGTTATTTCCATGGTTTTCCCTTTTATGTTGGCATTTTATTTTGAAAGAGGACAGTTAGTTTTACATACCAGTACTATTCCATATGTACTAACATCCCTTTTGCCGGGGGCGCTGCATCTTCAATGGATGTAGGTGGTTCATCAGCGGGGCAACTTTGGTCCTCGTTAGCAGTCACTCTCTCTATTCAGCAGGTTTTGGTGAGCCCTACTCTATTCCGGGCCTGATGTCATTTGAGTTGTATATTGTGTTTTAAGGTATAGTTGAGGTCTTGTTGTCGGCACTTCCATACTACTCTTCTGTTGTACTTAGAGGCTCCGTAGACAGGTTGTGGGTAGTAGTCGATGTTGGGAATTGAACTAGAAATGTTGGTATTTGTCAGACATGTTTTTCATTATATCTATAAACCTGTAATATTTTG